AATTTTACATATAAAATGAATGGGAAAATGGCGACGTCTGAATCTGACTACCCCTCAATCAAACAGGAAATGTTCCACACAAAGTTTCTCCAATCTAGATGAAACTCAGCAAGAACACCAGTATAATGTTTAGGAACAGCCACATATGCTCACATTTTGATAGTTTGTTTTGTAAGGAGAGATATAGGATAAGCCCATTGCTGCCCTGTATAAATGAATTTAATAATATACGGAGAAAATTGCTTTGTATACTAATCCGTGTCCACTCATTTCTGGACATGGCCTGCATGTATATTCAGACCCCGGCCTCATGGCCGGGGTCTGAAGTCTGAACAGAGCAAACACACCAGTTAACACAACCAAAATAACCCAGTAAAAGAGACAAGGATGAACTATCCTGTCACCTTAAAAAAATGTGCCAAGCTAAACTTTTAATCAAGCTTCCATCAATTAACATCTTTTTGAAATAAAACTACTGAAATAAAATCAATCCAGCTCTTAACGTGCATGCATATTCAGACCCCATCCTCATAGTCCGGCGGGATCTGAACAGAGCAAACCCACTATTTAACACCACTGACCAAAATTACCTAGTAAAAGTGACAAGAATGAACTGTCCTAATACTGAGAAAAAGCCGTGACAAGCTATAGTCTAATCAAGCTTCTCTCACAATTTTAATTCTGTCAATGAGAGGCATAGGCGGCTGCAGGCCTAGGCATTGGGGGTCATTGCCTAGGTTAAAGATTAGACCGGAAGTAGAAACAATGCTATTTAACCCTTTTACCACACCCCTTTAATTAGAAATGCCTAGGCTGAGTTGGACTTCTGCAGCCGCCAAAGATGAGAGGACTAATCTAGAGGAGTCTTAGATCAAACTGCTTTTAAGTTCTTCAGCCTTTAGAAATGCTTTAGACAGCCCCTCTCTCTTATCAACTGTTAGAAACTCAATCTGAGTTTGTCACGTTAAAATTTCCGCCATCTTGCTCTTTTTGACCACACCCTCTAGATTAATTTTGCCCACGTGGTCCAAATTTATCAATAATAGTATACTAATTTAATTTTCGTATTTTCCCGTTCACAAACAAGACGTAACGCAAATAGACCTAGACAGATTAGTGTGGGTCTCGCTCATGCTCGCCCCAATTAAAGTTATACATGAATGTTCCATTTCTTAATCACAAGGTCTACTGTATTTACATGTATACATGTACAATAATGCTTTGCTTTAATTCTCATGTAGCTCTTCATGATAGCGTGGCCAGGGGGCTGATGTTTTACATTCGTCTAGTTATTATTACTATTATTACTATTATTATTATTATTACTATTAT